GGTGAGATCAAGAAGCAGGAAAGTGATAGGAGTTGAAGAGGCAGGAAAGGGCTGGAGAACTCCCAGGTGCAGGTGAAAGGAGTCAGGAGGGTCAGGAGGTAGCACTGGTGTTGTGAGTTAGGAGGTAGAGAGAGAAGTGATGAGACCCTGTGTAATGAGAGAGAAGGCAATAGGGTGAGAGATGACAAGGAGTGGGTAATGAGAGTCCCCAACAACAACAACAACAACAACCTTTTATATACCTAACTCCTGCGGAAACCTATGTCTCAGAGGCTATGCTGCTCAACCAGGTTGCAATTGAGTGGCCGAGAAACACTCGTTGACTTGTCCAGGGTGATAAATTGGTGAAGACGGAGGATCCGTGTGTGAAGCCATCTCAGTGTGCTGAAAGCTGTGGACCTGGCTGAACCTAGGTCTTCTCCGGCTCCTTTGGACTGGGGTGGATTGCTGTCAGTGTGTCCGGGTATGGATGTGATGCTGTGAGAACTGCGAGTTTGGCAACCAGTGGGATTTTTAGCATTGATTTCCATGAGTAGAGGGCTTAAGTCAGGTATGCAAGCTACGATGTCATCTTCTTGACAATGGAGACCAATAGAATTTGGAACACGTGTCACCAGGCAACCAGGTGTTGGTGGCACACGGCCTGGCTCATTTCACTGAAGGCACTTGGTGAACCACCATGTGTCCCTGTTTTCTCTGGTAATCACGAGTTGGAACCTGTGAGGTTGATTCAGAAGACGGCTCCACTTTCACCCCTGAAGACTGTGGCCACCATCTGCCAGAAGAAAGTTGAACATACCACGAGGTGTCCGGAGTCAGTGTGAGCCAGGATAGGCCACCACTCTGATCCCTCCTAGTCAGCCCCAAACCATTCCTTGTGGCTAAACTTGACCTTGTCCTCATGGGACATCAGGTGAGGTTTCGGGAGGAAGGGAGGACAGAAGTGATGAGGCCTAATGTTCTGACGATGAGGCAGGCTCACCTTGGGACTAACAGAGGGGATCGGAAAGAGAGGTGTCACGTGATCGATAAAGACTCGGTAGGGGCAGGTGCCGATGAAGATGATCACAGTGGTGCTGTCTCCTAGCTAGTAGTTGTTGAGGGAATTCCGTGGCTCCATCCTCATGATGTCTCCCCATCATCGGTTCCTTCTGCTGGTCATGACCAGGACTTTGCAACTGACTGGGAGTAGTTGATCCATTTGGGAGTATTGTGGGTTGAG